ATTAACGAATGGCATAGTAAAGCCTCTTCCTTACTTGTTTGCATATATGCATTGCCTACTTACGTATATAGACTCTAGCGGATTTACAATTGGTGCTTTCTGCTTTTATCTTTCTGGATTGGGTGAATGTTGAATATTTGGATATGGAGATATGGAGATGTGGAAAAGAAAGAAGGGTTTTGCGATGGGCGATTAAATTGATGGGTTTATCGCTCTGTTTTTTTTTTGTCGTTTTGGGGGGTAGAGAGGAGAGGGGAAAGGGAGGGGGGAGAGGGGAGAGTGGAGAAGTGAGAAGTGAAAAGTGAGAAGTGAAACGAAATTAACATAGCTAGTTTCTGATTATGATGGTAGGAAGATAAGTATGACGTGGTGATTATACCCAGCTTCATGGACTGCTCAATGAGTACTTGTAAAGCAGGTATTATATCTCATAGCTCATCTACAGATTATCAGCAGGTCCCGATGATTCTTTTGTCATCCATGGGGCTGAGAGGGAAGATCTAGGGAAAGCGGGATGTTTGTTTTCTCGGAAGATATCGAGGGATATATCTAGGAGATGGAGATTCATCTGGCAGTGGCTTTATCTCATCGTCTTGGAGAGATCGAAATGGATTGGGTGTGTGAGATTTTCTGAGTATTTTCGATTCGATGGGATTGTGTTGTGTTGTGTAGAGTGGATGAGTATGGGAAGCTTGATGGTGAAGGGTCTTTTTTCAAATCTTTTGATGTATTTTTCTTGAGGTTTGTCGCGGGATTATAGAGATGGTTTGGTGGTTGATGGGTTGATGCATACTCGGTGATGGTGATGGCGGTGACGATGTGCGGGTGCGAAAACTAATTGATGCTCACAGAACTCATTGTTGTGATGTTGGAGAGGGAAGACTATGTCAGCATGGAAGCTGGATGGCAAAGCGCACATCGGATACTGCGGATACACTGTGGATGCACTGTGCTATACGGAGGATGTCGGAAGAATTGGAGTGATGCTCGTGAGATTACTTATCGTCTGTATGTGGTACCCATGTCTCGTCTCGTCTCCTCTGGCAACACGGAGGTAAGAGAAGTAGACGAGGAGTTCGAGATACTTCAACGTATCTTGATTTGATGGTGAGAATTCAACACGGATCTGTTTTGAATTCGAGTGCGGCGGATGATAATAGATTATGTTTCTTCGAGACTGGTCAATGTGCGAGATCCTAGCTGTCAAAGACTCAAAGTTGTTGTTTCCATTCGGCAGTGATGCCATCCATGCACGACTGGTACGGCTTCTATGCGAGATGGAAAAGAGATTGTCTAGGCGTGGAAGAGAGCTCAAGAGGTTGAAGTATAGATAATCGTCCAGTGGCGGAGTTGGTCCAGATAATATGTGAAAAGAACGAGTCTTGAAATTGGTCGTTTTCTAGTTTCAAACTTGATGCCGTTGTCGTGCAAAGCAAATTTTCTTCCTAAGAACACAAAGCAAAAATATTGTGAATGGATGGCAATGAAAGAGATCCTTCTACTAACCTAAGACGACCATCCCCCATACCACAATAGATAGAGGCTGTAGGCTCTGGCATGACACCGGAATTAACAATTGATAAAGGTATAACTCAGGTCAAAGTTTTCTCGTCCTCCTTCGGGTCAGGAAATCAACAGTTCTAGAGTATTCGACTTGCCCAACCAGTAATGGGCCTTCGTGAATTATATTAGCGATCTACCGGCGGATTGGAGATAACACATGACCCGCTTAGATTTCAGTCAACCCGCACCCAGCAGTATGGTGGAATTCGACAAACCGTTACCGAGCGTGAGAGCAACATAGTATTAGCGCAAGATAGTGAGGATCTAGTAGCTCAACAGAACCACGATGCTCACAAAAAAGCTGCTATATTTTTGATGAGCGCATCGAATATTTTACAGTCCAGATAGCGGTACCCATGTCCCGGATACGGCCGCCTCTACAGATCGACCTTCCACTTCGTGTCTTGGACTTCAATCACGATCGCAGTCCATTCATTTTGGAAATGCACATCTTACATGAGACTTTGCATTGGAGAAAAACTGACAAACCCATGTTCTATGTATCTTCTCATGTCCGCATCAACTGGACGGCTAGACTTCGCAAACGTCTCACGAATGTATTCGTAAAGGCTTCCTCAGCAACTCAGCCACAATTTGCCGTGCGGAGACATGGACTCAAAATAACATATTCCCCGTTCTTGATGTGTACGTAGATTCTTCATAATCTTCAAGCCGTGAATGGTACAGCTTAACCCCACTTGTAGGGGTTCGATCCATTAGTGATAAGATATATCCTAGTATATCACAAGCAGACAAACTATTGACAGTATTCCAGAATAAATTTTTCACGGTACCTGGAAACATGGCTTGTGTAGCGACTTTCGGGAGGCTTCTCACGAACAACCTTCCTAAGAAGACGATACTTTGGAGATTTTGAGGAGTACCCTTCCCGCTCAAAGCACAATCAACTAAGCCTTTCTTAGCCTACATAATTGAGAATTTGAGACTTCGTCAAGCTGTAGATAGTGGAGATGTATCCTCGTCACCGTCATCCTTGCTAGATATAGAAAATGGATTAGAGTTATACAGTACAGATTAGTCTGTAAGTCTGATAGATCCGCTCTGCCTTACGGTATTCCCATCAAGCATGATCCTTGACATATGTTTCCAGATAACATCAACTGTGAATATAGAAGGTTAGTGCTACAAAATATTTAAGATATGATTTGATGCATTACTCTACCATTACAAGTTACCTAAGAGTTCCTCATTCTTACGCATGTGTTTGTAATGTTTCATGTGGTTGATCTTATATCATTTTTTGAAGAAATTTTAATATTTCGAATTCATCGTTAGTCATATTTAGCCAATCCAGGCCCACTGACGAAGTTTACGATTCTATGCGGGAGAAAAAACTGGGATGTCACATTTTACTTTCTTCTCAAACCTCGATATCGAATCGTTCCATGAGGGTTCGAATCATTGATTATACAAGAATATTTGCAAACACATCATTAATAGATACCCTAACTCTTACGATATCGTCAACATCATTTCATGTTATTATTTCAACACGAAATAACAGTGGTGCTCAAAGGGGTTTGAAATTTTTAGCGAGTTATCATCCCCGTCTTCCCGTTCTGATCGAGTGGGGGCTAAGAATACTAATGCCAACCAACGCAGACCAGCAGCCACCGAGTCATCTCATGCATAAGGCTGTGATTCTGTAAGGACGTGTCTTAGCTCAGGACGCAGCTACAATGTGATTAACCTTAGCGATGTCGGAAATTATATTCCGGATTGACAGCGACGACTTGCTGACTTGCCAAGACAAAGCATACGTAGCCCCTACTGCGATTTTTTTATATCTTTTTTCGGCTGGCAATTATATAGAAAATCGATCTTGAAGAGATGGGATTGGTAGCTTTCCGGATTCCCGCCAAAGTAGGTTGTCAAAAATTAAACTTATGAGTATTCAGTACTCGATTGGGCATTCTTAGAGTTAAAAATGAGTACCGCCCACGGTAGTTGTTCTCGGGACCGAAACCTGCCAAGGAACGCATGCCAATCATGTCCCATAGATCCACTTAGCCGTCCGGGTATGTGGGTCGAGCCGCCAGTCCCGGAAAGACGCTGACCTTGATAGGTCGGCTATTACTCCGATCAGATCTGAAATGGTACCAGCGATATTCAAGGTACAGTGCAAGGCTTCCAAAAGGTGGCTTCGGAACCGAAAGAACATGCAAGTTGCGATAAGCTTGTTATAACCTTCTTGACATTGTCGATCTGTTCATTCATGTTTTTTATTAGTGTAGACCTGGGCATTTCAGTTGTTAGCTTCCTGGAATTCACTTCAATGAGTAATCAATAGCTCAATGTCAAGTGTGTGAAGATTTGACTTCTAAACTCGTTTTACGAGAATGTGTGGCGATCGAATATCAACCTAAATTGCCTCCCCCATTCTCAACTCAATCCCGATTAAAGCTGTTCTTTTCAATCTAGTCTCCTTTCACTGAACCAAAAAGTGTCTTAGTCGCCTATACGTACTACCACTTGGTGGGGAAACTTGAGCTCCTACTTTTTTCGACCAAGCTAAGCCGTCGGGTAGACTATAACTCTTAGTTTCATCCCACCGTTCCTCGATCTGACCAATTACACAATGTATTTGAAGTATAAACAATCACTCATCCTGTCCGACAATAAGCATCTCCGCCGCTAAGAACCCAGGTAGTTCCCTTTGTAGTTCATCATCTTGTGGTACGTGCATGTAGCATCGGAGCCGCAAGCTTCTGCCTGCGCGAGCATATGAAGGAAATTGGGACAAGGATTATGATAGACGTGTATGCTAGTGGATGGCACCTCCTTGTCTTTGAAGACTTTATCAAATCTACCATCTAGAGCTTCCTGACTAGAAACCACAAGCGTTGTTACAAGTGGGAGATGTGTCAATAAGTGAAATACCTGTCGTGATGTCTTATTGTGTATTGATATTTTGATATTTCGGCTAGCGATAGGTATTATAGCAAAAGCTTCAGTTGACACGATTTTCTTCCCTGATCGACATAGATATTCGAATTCGCAGGCGGTGGAATCCGACGTGTCAACTATATGTCGTTAAAATCGTGGCGCATTATCGGATTAAGTTAAAAATTGAACTTGAACCCTTAAATCCACACGGCCAGCATCCACTCGTTATCAAATTGACTACGGAGTACGCGTCTGCAACCATCGAAGCCGTATTCCCATGCACTGTTCTCGCTTTCCCTGGATAAATGCTGGCTTTCCTTAGATGAAATCTTTGTTAGCCAGGGGGCTAAAGGATTTGACCAAGGGGACATGAATACAAAGGCAACTGGAAGACTACTATATAACTCCCTAGAGGTACTCGATGAATACATCGTTTCCTCATCACCTTTTTACAGTAGAGGCCACTGCCATACGATCAATACGAGTTATCTTTTCAATTAATTCCGCTTGTTTCATTACCTATCGCAGCCATGAAAATCACTCAGACAGCAGCTCTCGCCGTCCTCTTGGCAACCGTTTCAGCAAAGGCTATTCCCGCTCAGCCTAACTCTCAACTCAAGTCCACACCCAAGAAGACGGTTGACACCACTCGCCTCCATTTCTATAATGGCACTTGTACTGCTGAAAATATCCGTGTCCGTAAAGAATGGCGAAACATGACTCCAAGCGAAAAGAGTGCTTATCTGAAGGCTGAGCAATGTTTGTTCAATCTCCCTGCCGCTACCACCTTATCTGGTGTCACGAGTCGCTTCAGTGATCTTCAATCTCTTCATCGTGATAAGACAAATCAAACCATTGATGGGCTCTATGTTCAAGATATCATCCACAACGTCGTAAGTTTTCCTTTACGAAGAAGCTTGAAAATATGAAGCTGATCATCGAAGGGCCAATTCCTTCCATGGCACAGATACTACATGCATGCCCATGAGACTCTCCTCCGTACCGAGTGCGGTTACACTGGTCCTATGAGTTGGTGGGATGAGGCTAAGGATGCCGATGCTGGCGACTTCTTCCAATCTGACATGTGGACTGCTGAACACTTCGGCTCAACCAACTTGGATGAAAATGCATGTGTCATTGACGGTGCTTTTGCCAATACAACCGAACATATCGGTCCTTTACTCGAGAACACCGATTACTGCTTCTACCGAGCATTTGATCTTACTCAAGTTCAATACTGCACCTCTGAGAAGGTTGCGGAATGCACACAATACAACGATTACTATAATTTCTTCAACTGCATGGTGATCTATCCCACCAGCCCTCACGTCGCTGGACATGCTGCTGTCGGTGGAATGGTGAGAAATGATCTTTCCAATTTTTCTGATCATTGCTAATAATCACAGATGGCCGATATCGATTGCTCCGCAGGTGATCCAGCCTTTTTCATGCACCACAACTATGTTGATCGTATGTGGTGGCAATGGCAACAGGGAAATGCTACTTCCCGCATGTTTGACATTAGTGGAAACAGTTTGAACGAGACTTACCTCGCCGAGCAAGGCGATGTGGCTCCTGCTGCTGGCTGGCCTCAAACTACTCTCGAGTATACTCTCACCACTGCCGATATCCTTCCAGATGTCCAAATCTATGATGTTGTTAACATTCAAGGTGGGTATCTCTGCTACGAGTATGACTATTAGAGAACATGGGTATGATGATCGAGTACGGGAAGAGTGGCGAATAAAAGGATAATGGAGTGATGCGCTCGAATTGTATTATCACTTAATGAGATATTAGAGTGGGAAAGAGCTGCATTTCGATGTATATAGTTTGATGGACATCTCGCACATAGATAATAAAAAGGTGCACTGACCTACACTTTCAACGCGTCTTTATTACCCCCAGGTCCTAAACTTCTCGTTAAAGGATTTTGTGTGGTTGTTTACGGATTTCACGTCGTCGCGTGGAGCTTCCATAAATCGCTTAGCTTATGAAATTGACACACGTGATTTCCACATTTTACAAGGTCTCATTTTTACTTCGGGAATATCATCACCTAGCATGAACTACAACCATCAACAGCTATGCCTACGCATGGCTTTATTGTCCCTGAACTAGTCTGCACAATGAGACCGACCAGCATATCCATGTTGGTTTGCATCGCCATCGAGCCAAATTAATACACAGAGCTCACATGTACTCGTTCGGTTGTATCAGACAGTATAATGTACACACTACCACTCTTTTTCAGGCCTTGAGAAATTTTCAAGAGCCATTGACACGAAGATTCGTCAACACACCTGTGTACACCAAAAATAACTACTCGTTTGAATATTTTATTACCACACTATCGAAGATGAATATAGAAACAACAATCACCAATGGACAAGCTACACAACACTCAAGTTAGCTCTAGAGCATTATCGAACAGGATATTTTATGCCCCGAGGAATTGTTTGAAGATTATCACTCTGTATCTCCAAAGAATATGTTACACGCATTATTTCATCCATGATACCATCAGAGCTCCTTTTAGTGTCTGTCCAAGGTCCTGAATGGCTTTTAGAACGAAGCAAATGTTACTCGAGAATTCATTAAGTATTTAAATCTTTTCAGAACGCTAGTTCTTTCTATTTCTTTTTTTCGCTCAGTCTAGTAGAGCAAGTAAGAAAGAAAGAAGACTTCTAATTCCAGAAAACATTCTTTATTCTTTATTCTTGATCTTCTATCTTCCATCTTCCATTAAAAAAATCACAATCATCACAACCATCACAACCACAATATCAACCTACCCTCCAATTCCTTTTCCGATTCCCCAGGACTTGATGATATACTCTCATGTCTCATGAGATTCTAGACTGAGTAACCTACCTACTTAAGCTTAATAATTAAATACAATTAAACATGCCTAGACTTTATCTTTCATCCTTTTTCCATCACGTCGCTTAGTTTCGTTTCTGAATCTCTAATGTTAAAATTTTAAGGAGGGGGATGAGCAGGTAATTCTACAGAAACCATCCATCCATCCATAGTTCCTATGAACTCACAATACCAAACAAACAAACAACAACACGTCTCAACACATCTCAAAACCTTAATGTCTACCATCTACCCATCTCTTATCCTTAACTTTTGTATCATTATAGCGTACCTTTATAGTATAATATCAACACATTAATATCTTAACACATCAACACATCAACACATCAACAAAACCCAATACTTAACCCAGTAATCTAGAATACAGTATACAATACAAATAAATCTAAATCAAAATCAAAATCAAAATCAAAATCAAAATCAAAATCAAAATCAAAATCAAAATCAAAATCAAAATCAAAATCAAAATCAAAATCAAAATCAAAATCAAAATCAAAATCAAAATCAAAATCAAAATCAAAATCAAAATCAAAATCCTCACTCAGTATCATCCTGTATAATCTAACTACCTACCTATTCCACAAATGAAAACTTCAAGACCTCAGTACAGAGCAGAACAGAATAGCACAGAGAAATCTACCATGCGCACAAGAGTTCCAGAAAATACATACCTACAGCTATACCATTGAATACCTAACAGCAGTATTTTACCCCAGAGCGTTTTAAACAAACATTGAAACGAAACACTGATTAGTCCATAACAGAATCTGTGACTAGCCACTAAGCCATATCATATCATATCATACCATATCATATCTTGACTGCCAATGAGAGGTTTAGGTTCAATCGTATAATCATACATCGATGTCATACCAGGGGCTCAACTTCACACTCGCACGGATATCTTACGAGAGCTGATCTACGCAATACTTCCGGATCCTGAAATCCATTTCTCATCACCCTATTTCCATATACAAGCAACCTACATATCCAAATTCGATTTCGGGAAATATCCACCACCACCACAAAAAGGTACTCTGTGGGCTTTTTAGCACCATTCATCTACATCCAGACTCGCATTCGCATCCAACATAGACACAGCTTACCTTCTCAAGAAACAATCCACAAACAACCTTGAAGCCTCAAATAACCTCGTCAAGAAAGTTGACAACCAACCCCCAGACTACCAGTCATCACATGATTCTTCACACTCCCAAAATCAAGTATCCCTAATCACTCACCCCTTCCCGCAGTCCGCATCCCACAAAGTGCAAGAGAGTAGAACCTTACAACCTACTCGTCAAGCTATATTGCCTAAAATATCGACCCTTAAAAAAGCAAAGGTGTATACCTACACCTTGACAGTATTCCAGGGCAAGTCAAGAGAGCCAAATCAAAGACGCTCACTACATTCTTATCGACCGCAACGCGATATCGAAGCCGAGTCTAACTCTTCAAGCCCAGTATCCTATTCTCGTTACGTCTTACCTCGATAAATTTAGAAGAGCCATGGAAGAAACCCGACCCACAAATTATTGCTCAACACATCTCTTGAACACGGAGCACTCTTATCAGACCGACATCAGAGCCAGGGGAAAGCCATCTTCCACAAACCTCTTTCCTACCAACCTTGTATATATTAGGTCTCTTCATACGCAATCAACATGGCTCCTAAATGTATAGGATTCCACCATGCCTACTTTCAATCGGAGCCCACAACACTAATTGGAGCAAAAACCAAGCCTTTTCTCTGCGAAGAATCATGTAAGTGTTGCACGCAACAATATCACTTCAAAGAAAATCAGCAGTATCTCGATTGGGTATACCATCCTGTAGATCGGGAGTGGGAACATGCTCAACACATAACAGAAACCCTTGCGGGTGTTGTCGTCGGGAAACAACAGGATCTGAGAGATCAATAGATGCTGTACTGAGGATGGATGATGAAACGATGGACTGCAATGAACAAGCGAAAGCGTGCAAAGTTTCTGAAAGAGACAATTCCGGGAATGTTACCTCGGAAATGGCATTCGATCTTGACTCCAAAATCATGGGAAGCTTTAAGGAGTGAGGATCGTAACTCTTGGTCTGAGTAGTGTGATATGCTGCCCTTGAGGTACTTGAATGTAGAGGCATTGGCGGACGACCCGCTCTATTTCTAAGTCTTATATTCAACCAAGGCAACAATCACCCCTCAGAATGTGTCGCATTTGACAGCAGTCGAAATGATCGTGAGTGGAGTATTGGTTATGCATGGGCAGCTTATCGCCCGGATTGCGTAATCATGCATGGCAGAGAACACGGAGTTCTCACTGACTGGGACAAGAACGCCGCACATAGAAAAGACATCATTGGCTTTCTGCGTGCACATCTGATCCCGAGAGCACAAAGCAAGACAGTGGAAATCCTCCGTCGAATAGTGGAGCAATTAGTAGCGAACTATGATGGCATGGAGCAATTGGACATCTGTACCAGGTTCCAATTTCGCATTCCAGCTATTCATGGATTTTTCTCTGGATATGAAATTGAACCTTATGGTCCGCCACAGCGTTTCGATATCGAGAGGCCATTGAGTAGCGCACGTGTGGCTCTAGATATCAAACTAGATCATATTGAGCTCCTACAAATGGATCCCGCATATGCTAAACGATGGCTAAATCTTTTAGGAGACGGAAAGGTCATTCGAGACCCGAGCTTTAACTTCAAGAAGCACCATATTCAGACAGGCGACCTTATCAGGGAACTGATGATCATGCGGAATTGGAGAAAGTTGGTTTCCGAAATAGAGAAGCTTAGAGGTGTGTATTACTCGACTGCCATCGATGATGTCACCAAAGCACTGTGTGATTTGGAAGTATCACTCTATAACTGCATGGAAGATTCTTGCGCTGTAACGGGACATGTTTTAAGCCAAAGACCTGGATTTTTCAAAAGTAGCGTGAAATATTTTGATGAAGACCCCCTGCATTATTGCCTAAGCATGGTAACAGGAGCTCCTGATGAGAAATATAGACTTAACAGGTCACTGATGTTTCGGTATCTCAATGATTATTTCCAACAAGCCACTAAAGAACAACGCGCTCGAGTAGAAGAACCTCTCGCGATGCTTTATTCCGATTGGGCTACATTACATGAAATAGACACGATGATAAGTCGACATGGACGACATGAAGTACAGCCTCAACAATATATGGAGGAAAATGGAAGTGAAGACGCTGAGACAGATACTGAAGATTGGGACTCGATAGAGATGAAGCTTCATAATACTGAAGCTCTTAAAGAATTTTCGAAGCTTCCACTCCCGAGCGGGAAAAAAGACGAAACGTGGATCGCTTGCGACATAAATTCAAGGATTGCCCTCTCCAAAATGTGGAAAGGAACCCGAGACTTTTTCAGAGCGACATTGGAACATAATGGGGTGAAGAACAAAGATATTGAGGAGATAAATGCTATCTTTCTAGATATTGATGCAGACCACGTAGCAAATGCCAAGCTAAAGTATGACAGCATCAGAGCCAGAATAGAGTCAGATCTGCAAACGAAGAACAAAAAGGTAAATAATGTTACCGCGGAAGTTCAAACAGTTTGGGGCGTTGAAGATTCAAACACGTTTCAAGCCCCGCACAATAAATAGAAGACCAAGATACGAACGGTAGCTCCAAGGCAAACGGGCGATACGGTACAAGCAGTATCGGATGTCTCAGCAATCGAAGAAGTTGACGCAACGACGACCGAGCTGCAAATCAAAGTCGATATAAAGACACTAGGCATTTTCACCTCTATGTACTCTGATCCCGATGGTGGCCAAGATACTGGCACTGTCAGCTGAAAGGGTTTTAGACGCGCGGTGCGTAAAGCTGGGTTTGAATCGTGGGAAGGTAGAGGTTCTGCAGATGAGTTTCAACCTGCCGCGCACCTTGACTTGGGTAACGGCAAAAAGATTGGCTGCTACAGACCCCATCCAGATCCATATTTTGACCTCATCTAGCTCCGTGGTTTGGGAAAGCGGCTCAACAAACATTTTGACTTCAATCGCAATACTTTCGTTTCGAAAGAATAATTGTAAACATCCTAAGCCTCGAGTACAACTATATTATGCCAACCCTCTAAGTTGTATGAGCTACTCGTACCTCTCCAATACGCGTCTATGAATTGCAACAAGAAAGCCATAGCGAATGCTTCGCAGCATGTATGAGTCCGAATATAGTTTGGTGTACGGATTTCGGAATGCCAACTGCATTCGTAACTTCCCGTCCCACTTTCTTTATCTTTTGGATTGCACCGGCGCCCACTTTCGCAAATTCTCGCGTCCGAGGATCGTTCTCTGAGAACAAGCCTGCATAAGTGATCCGCACTAACAGCAAATCATTCCAACGACAGCCGCTATGTCGGTCCGCCCAACCTTTTGGTATCTGGTATGTTCGACGTGCAGAGCATGGTGAAGGTGCATCTTTCTTTCCATGTATATTCCTTATCTCCTTTCGTCTTTCGCGTTTTGCTAGGCCTTCAACCGCCATCATGGACTCGTATTTAGGATATCTTCCCATGATAAACTCTATTCTTTTTCCACAGCCGTGAATGCAACCGTGAATTATGTATTGTGATTCCCTACGCACGATCCGTATCATGCATTGCAAGCCCTGAGCGCTCTTCGACTCATATACCTTCCTGTTTCCCCATTGAGTGTGGAGCTGGTAAATTGTTTCGCGTCTTAATGTCGCTCACTCGCAGTCTATGGTATATTCGTGATATATTCGCAAGGTACCTATGAATACATGAACCGATTAGTAGTTAGCAGCCCGCATCATCACCACCACTCATCCATCGGCTCATAATATTCACACGCCCTGGTTGCTCCATTGTATCGCATCGTTTCGAGACGCGTAAACCAGACAGATCCATGCAGAACTACCCCTCCAGCAGCAGCAGTGCAATCATACCTGCCTACCTACACAACCTACCCTACCATCTCTCCAGTAGAAATTATCATCGGTATCGGTACCGGCATAGCAATAACACGTAATTCTTGAAAAGTAATCAATTAAACAGCACTCGCAAGCTTGCAGCGAACAATTTGACATTCGACGTCCGCGTTCGAGATGGCTCTCAATCAAGGTTTGAGGCTCGACATTCGACATTCAAGATGTGGCGGAATGTAAGGATCGTAAAATGCGCCGTGCGTCCATCCATCTTTTCCTACGAAGTATGCCAGCCAATTTTTCAACGTTACCTCCTGGTGCTCTCTCTGCCTTGGGATTCGTAGTAGAATGGGATGGGATTTCTAGAAATTGATCATCGTGAGTTCGTTTGCGTTTGCCGTAGTGAACAAATTGATTTCGTAGGAGGAGGAAGAAGTCGGTGTGAGGGAATGGAGGGAATATGTACTGGGTAGGTATGTAACTCAACTGGAGAGAGGTGCTATGGTGTGGTGGTGTGATATTGTGCAATGTGGCGTGGTTTCTGCCACTTTCAAGGTCAATCAATGGTGATGGGTACATCAGAATTGAATCCATCTCATTAAAGCATTTCCGCTCTGGTTCCCTGGGATTCTCGAAGTCGGGAATATGATTAAAATTCCCTCAAGTGGTATAGTAGTAAATACAACAAGAGGGAAATGGGTCAGAGGAAAAACGAAGATGGAGTTCACAAGACATGTCATGTTCATCAAATGCATTCACAAGGGAAATGAAGGTACTTGTACAAATTTGTTATTACAATATTCAAGTCAAGCTGTTCCTCCACAAGAAACCCTCCTCGATCGTCACCAAAGCGGACTTTTGGTGAAAGTCAAGCCTGACTTTTTCCTTTTTTGGTGGTTTTTGCTTTTTCGAATTTTTTTTGTCTTTTTGCTTTTTCCAATTTTTTTGTCTTTTTTCTTTTCCGCGTTTTTTTGAAATTTTTCTTTTTCGAGTTTTTTTGGGTTTTCCTCCAACACCACCAAACTTCAATGGCACGAGACCAAATTGAAGTTCTTCTCTGTTTCCTTTGACCGAAGTCAACCCCAGCCCACCAGACCTGAAAACAAAGAAAGCTGATTCCCCCGAATCAACCTGTGGTGAAGATAAAAATACAAGAAGGGCCGCAGCCTCGAAACTTCAACCACCGCACCAGCGCACCAGCAACCACACCAACCACCACCTCAGAATCCCTAGCAAAACCGTCCCACCACATCAACAGTCACCAACCAACTCACTATTACCAGTCAATGTCGATCCCGTACCCATTAATAAAACCCCACTTGGTTGTAATATTTGCTTTGAAAGACAACGAGGGACGTCCCGTGTCTCCCTGAGTCCCATTAGGCTAAGTCGGTCACGTACCCTCTCGGGTGTGCCTGCCGTCCTGGTGTTTTCCTCAGGCAATCGATGGTCATGTGAGAAGGAAGTCAGGGGGCTCTCAAGCTTCCTGCCGACGCAGCCTGCTATATTTACACCGTCCTGACTATTACTCGACCTGATCTCCCGTCAGAAGCTGCATCCTGTCGTGCCATCGGCGACCGGGACGTACAACTCTGCGAACGAAGAACCTCCGCACTGGACGTATGGTTCATCGAGGGAGATCGTATAAGGATCAACAACAAAGTTTGGTAGAATCAACAGAGGGAGACGAAGACATGGTAAGTGGAGAGGTGGACCATGAAGATGTGGGTTTCCGCCCAACCAGTTCATCACACCTGCAACCACACCATTCCGGACTGCGAAAACCTGTTGTTTGAGGTTAGAATTGGTCAAGGTGAGAGGTGGAAGGAGGAATGAGAGTGATGAAAGTACATACTTCTTGCGATAAGAATAATAAAGATGTTTGTCGAACCGGATAAAAATGATAACAATATTGTCGAGAAAGGAAAGACCGAAAGGAAAAGAGGAAGATGATAACAATTCTGTAAGGTGTGTTAGTATTTTGGTGATAGTGCGACGACGTGTTCAAGTTGGTGACTTACCGAAACTCGAACGGGGACAGAGTCGATCGTAACCAAAGAAAGCACGCAAAAGGAAAGAGGAAGTCGATTCTGCAATGGGTGTTAGTATCTTGGTGATGCGACGACGTGTTCAAGTTGGTGACTTACCAAAACTCGAACGGTCAGAGTTGATCGTAATCAAACAAGCACACGAAAAGAAACACCTTTTTGCAGTTAGTATGATGTTCAAGTGATGGTGCATGTGAGGAAAAACTTACGTAAGAAAGGTCGGAAAAGGGTGAGGAAGAGACCAGACGCAGACGAGAATAGTGCGAATGGGTCGCTGGTGGTGATATTGAAGAGGACCAGCGTGGTGAGTTACAAAGGGTAGGTAGCTTTGTATTGTCGAGGTACCGAACAAGTGATGAAGATCGTGATCAATGAGACTCATGATCTTTGGTCGAGACGAAAAAAATGAGTCGATTCTTTGCAACGGCCGCTACAAAGAAAAGACACTCCTAAAGTCCGAATCGCACGTAAGGTAAAAGGTGACCAGTGGTCCACGAGATGAGCAAGTCGAGAGAGATGGAGGTTGCTAATTCTATGCAGTTGGCGCTACACAGAACTTTCAAGGTCGAAAACTGTCGAAGCTCGATCAAGTGGTTTGGTCGATTGAGAAGGAGAGGAGACATCGATTTGTTCAAGAGACGAAGTAGATCATTTTCAGTTGCAGTTGGCGCTACAACAGAAAGGTTGATAAAGTCCATCTAGAGAAGACTCGTTATCGAAGAAGTCGAGGATACCAGGAACAAAAGAATGATTGAGATCGATGGATAAAGGTACTCAATGACTGAGATGTTGGATCAGGTCGAAATGGTCAATCGCTTGCAGCAGGCAACTACAAGTAAAAGGCAAATTGAGCTGAAGAAGAAGGTATCGACGAACAAGAAGAAGTTGAAGGATAATGAAGAACAAAAGAATAATTGAGATCGGTAGGCGGAGGCACTCAATGATTAAAATGTTGGACCAATACCAAAGAGGCCAATCTCGTGCAGCAGGCACTACACGAAAGAGACCAAAATGAAATGGTGAAGGTTGATATCCGACAAGGAGAAAGTAAGAAGAAGTTAATGGAGGAGGAGGGACTGCGAAGAACAAACCAATTGAAGAATAAAAAAGATCCAAGGCGGCACTTTGATAATTGAGATGTTGGTCCAAGACTGGAGTAAGTTCGATTCAATGCAGATGGCTGGTCTGCAAAGAAAAGAACAAACTCCAGTCTGGAGGAGATTCGTGTCGAGAAAAAAAGAAATCAGAAAAGGTACGGTGTATGTGGAAGTATTTAAGTTAATTTGGAATCGATCTCGGTGCGCTAGATCACTTCGCTCGTGAGTCGAATTTTCTCTGCGCCTCAAAATTGAATATTGGAAAATGAGTGAAAGTGAGGGGGAATACCTTGTCGGCGTCTGTTGAGAAATGAGATTGCGCAAGTTTTCTGTCTTCCGACCTTGTCTCTCTGCCGTCTTTCCGATAGACGCGGCAGAAATGAGATATAAAGTGAATTTGTTCTTTGTTTTTCGGAAACTTGAGGTAGCTGAAAAATGGCGCAATCGTTGGTAGTGAATTCTTTTGACGCTATCACCAATAGAAAATTTTGTTGAGGACGGGAAGGTTCGAGAGGCAGTGCAAAGGATGGAATTTCCAATTTTCAATCAAATTTTCAAGGTATCTGGAGTGAATATCATGGGTTATTGATGGAATACTTCGAGGGGGTTGTTAGAGCACCAAGGTACCTCGGCAGCGAGGTGGATTGGTTGTAGAGAATGGAAAGTGGGAAAGTGGAAAGTGAGAGGTTCGAGATTGAGAATTGGATGGTGAGGATTGAAGGATGAAGCTGTAGAGTGAAGTTGTGGAGTGAAGCCAATTCAAAATTTATATCTAAGTTGACGTTGACGTTGGCCCTTGGTGCTGGTACTGGTGTTGACGTTGATATCTCCCAAATTTATATCTGCAAATTTGAACTGCAGAAGGACTTCAAACGAAGATGATCACACAGTCTATCTATTGATCTCTTCATCCTCCCTATGACCATACTCCCTTCTCGTTTTCATCCAACCTCTTGCTGACGTCAACAATATAATGTGAATCAAGAACTCAATATCAAGTAGATCTAAGCAAGCAGTTCCACACAACGCGCGCTTCACCAAAGGATAGCATCATTAGGATGAAGTGAGGTCGAAATGATCTCTAGATAGCCTCATATAAGTACCTGCTCGATCCAAGAAATCTCCCTATATTCTATCTATAGTCAAATGCGTAACTGGCCATCTCAAAGCAACTCATTGTACAAGTGGCAGCCATACAAATAATAGATCATTGATATGAATCCAAACTGAGATTGATATGATACGAGCAGAGCAAGAACCAAAGAGCACAACATCCGTATTTCACACTCTGATACGTGCAGCATATACATATATATCAATCCCCATCCAGATATCCATCTTCTACTCCTCTATTCCCATCATCCAATATACTTATTACATTACTACGATACGATACAAATATCAATCAACACACAAACCAGATTCCTACCCGCCTATCTTCTCAAGTCCTTCCATCACATTCACCCATCCGGTGTGTTCCATCCTCCCTACACCAGGCACCAGATACCGGACACCAACCATCCTCCTCACGTTACCACCCACACCACGCTCTCTCATTGATCCCCCTCCCCCCAAGAAATCTTTTGTTGCATATCTCAAAAACACAACATCTTTTACCCGTTCACCAGCACACTCTAGACAATTTGCAAAGAAAATTACATCGTCTGGGAATAAGAACACTTTTGGATTTTATTCCCGGTTGATGTTTTGGGTTTCGGAAGGAGGTATCGGGTGGTGGTCGGGCCGAGGTTTCGGGATGAGGATATCGGGATGTGAGGGGAGGGAGGGGAGGTGAAGGTGAGTGTTCCGGGGGAGTGTTTCGGGGAGGGGGTGTGGGTTTACCTAGGAAACTTCTGGTATGAAGGGTTTGTGGAGGAGGATTGCGGAGGGGGATAGATAGATAGGTACTGACTTCGTCACCTTGTTTGATATAAGAATGAGCGAGGATTTCAAGGGAAATGTGGTGATGGAAGTGAGCCACCTATCTAGGTAGTTAGTAAAGCCAGATAACTACCTGCAGCCATGAAAAAAGGTTGGTTTCACCGAATCATTTATTTGGCTCGGAGATGTAAATCCGAACTTTTTGTTGTACATTTGAAGTATATATCTGTATGTCTAAAGCAAATGATAACAAATGGGGGCAGGATAAATTACAACAGAATTCATTACATCAAATCGAAAAGCTTCTCTTCTCCAACATCCAACATCCAAATCATCTCACCAGATATCCCAACTCTGCGGCTCGACTCTACAAGTCAACCCAACACCCTCGTTAAAACTCCAAACTACACACAAATGAGCTCGCTACATTAGAATCCCCACCAACATACTTCGCCACCAACGGATATGCACACAAATTCCTCTCAATCACCGTTGTATTTCCCTTCGCCGTTGTCCTTGCCGCCAGTACATCGGGCGCCACACCCTGCTCCACCCATCGAACCAAAGCCCCCATCATATCCACCGGATATGGACCATTACCACTCCAACAATGCTGCACACCCGGCGCTTCAAAGAGTCTATAAAAATCTCTCACATTCAGATCCCTCTGCTCGACTTCCCGATAATACTTTGTTGTCCCAAGCGGAGGAATAAGTTGATCCGATAAACCATGCCACGAAAGAAGTTTTCCTCCCATTTCTTTGAATGCCGAGAGATCAGGATCCGCAGTTCCGATGATCGATGCATATTGTTGGACAGATGAATGTATAAGACGTGTGAATTCTTGCTGGGTGACATTATTAAGAGGAAACGATGCATTTTTCACAACAAAGAGATTAATCCAATCGGAAGCGAATGGAACCGGGATCCCCGTACAATTCGTATTTCCATCCGTACACAGAGTTATGGCGGTCCCGGTGCTGAGAGGACTCGAAGGATTTAATCCGTACCACAGAAAGCTTCCATCCTCGGCCTTGGGACCCTCCCAAGCTGCCTGAGCGACCATGGCTGCCTCCGAGGTAACGATCAACGTACTTCCATCTGAACAACTCACATTTCTTCCAACCGTTGAATTGGCTTGGAAATTGCAAAGTTCCGGGGCACTCAGGAGACCGTCTATAACACCGTCAAGTCCATCGCAAGCTTGGACTCCGGCAGCGGTAATCGCGTCGAATTCGCACGAACTAGGATAGACTCCTAGTTGATTCATGATGAACTGAGGCCAATACAAAGCTGGAATAAATTCTGCCCAATTGATTCCCGGCGCACCAGCTAAAATCCCATCATATCCTTCTGGATATCGCTGTGCCATCATCATAGCTTGTCGTCCCCCTGTCGAACAGCCATTCCAGTATGAATAATCCGGTTTCTTCCCGTAATAAGAAGATGCAACGGATTTTCCAATTATCGTCATATCATTGAGGCAAACCGCGGCGAAATTCTGTAGGAGATATGAATTGACATTTCCAGGTGATACTTGAGCCCAGTTTGTTGCGTAGAATCCAGTGGTATTGGGATCCTCGTTGTCAACATAGTGACCACCATCTGTACCAGCTGTCACATAGCCATCGGCCACAGGAGGGATCAAATATGTTTCGACATAGCCGGTATTGAATCCACCACCGCCTGTTGCCATGAATCGACCATTCCAGGATGATGAAGAAGAAGGTAAATAGATTTTCACATTGACAGTATCGTTTTGACCCGGATGCGTGTATGTAAGTGTTACGTTGCAGAAGTCCAGTGAAGTGATATTGGTAGTGGCTCCTTGGTTAAGTGGTAAAATTGACCCGGTATAATTTAGGACTGGTACTGCTGTTCCAGAGAGAAATGAAGCACCGGGTAATTCTGGGTAGGGAATAGTAGAGATATTACACGGAGATGCCATCGTCTTTTTATGACTCTCCTGGAGAGTATGTATTTCGGAGGGGAGAAAAAAGATGAAAGGATGATGAGTAGAAATTCTCCATGATGATGGATGGATTGAATGTTTATATATGTAAACCATAACCATCGCTGTCGTGTCCGATACGAGTAATGAGCTTTGACAAAGTAAAATTAGCCATCGCTTGCATTACTTTCCATTGGAGAAATTACATCAAAGTGGATGATTTTCTGCGTCAATTGCAATGCTGCGTAAGATATCGCATAGAATATGGAGAAGTGAGTGTAGGTGAGTATAAGTGGGTAACTTGCCTCGTTTATCTGGGGATCAATACGAGATACGAGATACGAGGCACGCTTCCTCCTAGCACTAGCATTAGTACGTACTATGTACATATGAGTACCGGTAAGAGGAATCGTTAGAAGATTATGTACAATATGCTTGCTAGTATCATAAGAGTATTGTTTATCAGTTCAACTTCATTGCTCGATGATTGAATTAAAGCAGGTAAGAAGATTGATGTAATAAAATTAGTGTATAAAATGAAGCACTTCATGATGTCAACCAGTACAAGTGTTGCTAAAATTAAAGATTTCACGAAATTCGAGATTTCAACTTCAAAGTCATTAGCCTGCCCTCTTAAATCTTTAGAAACGTTTTCACTGAATCATTGACCTTTTCGATTGCATCTAACCCTTTCATCGTGGGCCTGCTCGCCCCGTCTCTCCATCTCCCCGCCTCCCTGTCAACTTGTCATCCTTACCTACCTTCAATCTCTAGAGGGAATAGATTCCCTTTAGTGACCCTTTTTCCTTATTACTGAAGATGATCATCATGTGAAACTCGATTCTTAACAATACAACAACTCTGTTTTTTAAAGGACCATTAGTGGGTATACGGATTGACGGGAGACTACAAAAAAGAATTTGTGAATATCTTTTAATATATCGAATGATATATCTTGAAAATTGTCATAATCATTTATTAGATATAAAACAATCAAAACTTGAGTTTTATATCAAACACTTAAAGAATAATTATATTAAAAATTTCGAAAGTTGGAAAGTGTTCTATCAATTCATATACCCACTGGTGGACTACCGGTATCAAGAAAATCTATATATTTGATAGGAAGTTTAGCGAATCTATATAATATCATCTCGTAGATATTCCTTCTCAAAGGCTGGAGGTTGGAAGTGGCAGGGTTGTGTTGTAAATCTGATCAAGAGAGAAGGAGTATGAATTCAAATTGAAGTTGAAATTGAAACTCGACTTCAACTTTGAATTCGAAAACAATAAGTCATTACTCTTCCCCTAATCATGATCTATAGAAACCTCCAAGACTCCAAGCCTAGAAGAACAAAAATAGCTTCATTTCGAGCACCAAAACCCCTCACTGTTAGAGTAGATGAGAGCGAGAAGCAAAATTCCATCACAAATAACTCAAGCTTCGCTTGCAAACCCCCATAATATTTAATAATAAAAAACGTAATCATCAACATGGTATAGTATAATTGAAAACTAGCACCAATTCCCGAATACTTCGAATACCAGGATATTCTATTTACCCAGATCAAGCCAGTATACTTAACCCATCTTAAGCCGACTAAAGCTTTCTTTTTTTGATTTGGCTCTGGGTGCCTAGGTAGGTAGTTGTGAGAATCTTCTAGACGAGAATGGATTTATACAGAGAGGATAGAAATGACATAAAGCCTTTCTCTACTGAACACGTACTGAAACCAAGATTCGGGAGCGAACAAGCGAGTGAGCCTAGAGAGTAAATATCAATATACCATCCTTTCAGATCACATTAACTTAAATCACTTCTCGCTAGGAAGACTTCTTTCTAGACTCTGGCTCGGGTAAACGAGATCACGATTATCTGTACCTAGGTATGTAAAGGTTTTCGCCTCCCCTTCCCGTCATGAAAGGTTGAATAGCTCGGGTTTCCCGAGTATTCAGAAACCCTCTGGTTAATGGAAAATAAAGTAAAACTGGATCTATATATGATACAGAAAAGAGCCGTGCGAAGGAAATTTCCTATAGTATACCGGTCATATAATACCATCCGATTTCCTCTATTCAATTCGTCATTCAACAAACTGAATACCGGGAGATAAGTGCCGGCCTTGAAATAGTCCGCCTGTCCGTTAAGCAAAATGATCCAGTATCCACCCACTAGTGTAAAGAAGTGTGGAAACTACATGAATCGGTGCTAAGATAAAGTAAAGATCCGTCGTTAGATAATACTACAAGCAAGAGTCTGCAGGTAACCAGGTCTTTTGCCTTCCTCCTGTGTTGAGTTGCAATAAGTTTAGCTGGGTGGAAAGCTTCGCTGTGGATCGAACCATGCTATGTGCTATTGAGTATATGTCTATATTCTTTCCTCTTCATTATCGCACTCAAAGACAAATGAGGACGACTTTTTGAAATTGTGCGAAATACTCTTACTAGAAATGAAACGCATCCTTCAAACTAGAGAGGTCAATTGCGAGAGTAGTGTCGACTTCATAATGAAGAGACAATACATCCAGATATTTCATTTCATAATTTCCAGACTCATCACTCAAATCTATTCATGATCCATAAACAAAAGCCAAGTTCCAACACTTTTCGAATCAAATCCCAATAGCCGTACTCCCCCCATTCCCACTCTCTCCTGTACAAACCCTAAACCCCTAAACCCCCTCCAAACCCTCAAAGAGCGTAACCCCCCATTCCTTCCCCGGATTATTAAACCTACTCAACCACTTCCTTCCCACAAACCTCAACTTAGTCAAATCCGCATGTGTCAATTCACACTCCTCCGCGTGTAAATTCTCCTTAATCCATTCCTCATGACTACTTTTCGGAATCACACTGATCCCTCTTCCCATATTCCATTTCAATGCTACTTGAGCTGGAGTACAATTTCTTTGTTCGGCGATGTCGAGGAGAATGGGGTTTTGGAGGAGAGGTGGAGCTCTTGGTTTTGAGGAGGAGGGGCGGAAGAGGGATGTCCATGATGTCCAAGAAGAAGAAGAAGAAGATGATGATGAGAGTGATGTGGAAGGAGATGAATGATAAGTCGGATTAGTATTTCCCAATGGAGAATAAGCTGTCATCTTAATACCAAGAGCCTTATGCGTCGCTACCCACGCCGATTGTTGCAGGTAGGGATGGAGTTCCATTTGATGCGTATATGGCATCGTACCAGTCGATACGACATTTTTGAGTTGAAGCGGGGAGAAATTGGATACCCCGATATTGAGAACACGAGATTTGGGGAGGGAAATCATAGATTTGTAGGTCTGTTTCGTGTTAGTTGGAATTTGAGAACGTGGAGAAAATGAAGACGAACCTGGACATGATCGAGATTCTTGGTTCCATTAGATGAGAAGCCAATAGGCCAATGTATGAGATATAAATCCAGATACTCGAGATCTAGATCTTGGAGAGTTTGGTTTAACCCCTTTTCCACATTTTCATGACTTCCATGACTATTTCATCAAACAATTAGTTAAATTTCTGCCCGAATCACTCTCGATCAATCATTCCCAACTCATACAACCACGTGAAAGATAAAACAATGATAACATACTGATCATTCCATAGTTTACTCGTCACCCAAATATCCTCTCTCTTTAACCCAGCTCTCTTCAACCCCTCTTTAATGCCTTGTCCTACCGCCACTTCATTCCCGTACGCAGCCGCGCAATCAATTTGACGATATCCAATTTCAATTGCGTACGCGACGGCTTCAGTTGTATTCCCAGGAGAAAGATTTAGATTCCATGTTCCGAAGCCGATAAGAGGTTGAGAAATCGATTGTTTTTGGGATGGTGGTAGTAAAGGGGAAGATGGTGGTGTGATCGGATGTTGTTCAGCTGAAAGATATAGGGCGTTGATGTTAGACAGGAGGAATGCGAGAGAAAGGAAATTGATGATTTGCATGATGAATCGGATTCAACGAAGATGAATTGAAGATTGGATTGAGAATATATTCAGCTTTGGAAATGAAACCATATATACTGTGGAGGTTTGGGTTCAGCTGTTTGTTTTATGCTAGGGTTGGGCATTACTAGGTATATAAATTATGACGTTATATTGAACAAGGGTTCACGTCGCTGTGGCGCCAGTGAGAGTCCATACATTGATATTCGGTAGAATGAAATAAATGTAGCACAACACAAACAATATTTGAGAATCCAGATATAGAAGTTACGCAATATGTTGTAAGTTGTACTCAATCGACATGTCCCCCAGGTGTGCACCAATATTCATCAAGCTACTTTTATCCGCAAGCACAAAGGCGGTGAATCTCCATTTGCTGAGTGAACCTCGCCAACCTATGTAGTGCAAAGCCCGGATTTCACGAGAGACGAATGAAAGTCAATCATCAGAATGGTCCAAGGACTAGGTGAAGTCATCTAGTAGAATTATAACATTCAAACTAATAGGTAAACAAAAATTAATCATAAACAAAGACCAAACATCAAGCTTTCATTCTCAAAATCCTATCAAAATATCCTACGCTACCACATAAACATCAACCCCTTACTCCATGGATATCAAATCCCAATTTCATAATCATCATCAAACTCATCAAGACTAAATAACCATCGCTGAATCAAAACTCAAAACATAAAATCTCAATCCTAGACATCTTACTTTCTTCCCCTCGCCAATAATTTATCCCCCAACTCAGCTACCGCTGAGCCCCAAGAAACATTAGTTCCATCTCCCTTCTCCTTAGCATAATTGCCTAGTCGATTAAGAAGGAACTCCCTCATCTTCGGTTCATTAAACCTTTCTCCATAAATTACTTTTGCAACTGGGGAAATCTCCACATCAAATCCTTCGTCCGTGCTGTGACTAATGAGACTGAAAGCCAATTCGACCTTTGTGTTCAGAGCCGCAATCAATAACTTTGACTTGACGAGGATAGAGTTATCTGATGTTTTGGTGACAACGGTTGGGCAAACAATATTTAGTAGATGAATATCATCCACTACTCTTGCTGC